GGGCCAGTGGGAGAACTGCTGCTGGACGTGGAGGGCTTCTGCTCCCACAGCAGGTGACCACAAAGGATCCATGGCAAGGCCCCACGGACTCCTGAAACTGATCTGCCATGGCTCCTTCCTGGAGCTCCTTCCCAAACATAGCCCCACAGAGAGAAAAAGTGCTGAACGTGGAGTGAACACTACGGGACCGGGACGAGAGAAACAGAAACCGAAGGTTCAGATCAAAGTGGGGGAGGTCCCACAGGCCAAAGATGGGACAATCTGAACTTCAAAATGGGTAATAACAGAGACTGATAGAATGGGATAAAAAAACAGGCCCAACTTTGTGTTGTCTATAAGAAATATAAAGACATGTGGGAGAAGGGGATGGATAGATGTTGACTAAAGGATACAGAGTCTCAGTTGGATAGAAGAAATAAGTTTGAGATCTACTACACAAATGGTGACTACAATTACGAACAATATATGGTACTCCTGGAAATAACGAAGGGAGTAGATTTTTAGGTGTTCTCACCACAAAAAATAAGTGAGGTAATACATGTGCTAACTAGCACGATGTATCCATTCCACAATTTTAAAAAAAAAGATGATAAATGCAATTACATGAAACCCATCAAATACATTTAAATCCATTAGTTTATAACTATAAAAAAAAATTGTCACCTCAGAGGATGATGGAGAGACAATTCATTAGTCACAAAAACTGGTCAATAAAGAGAAAGAACCAAGCATTTCTACTGCTTACTCTATATGAACAATACCACTGAAATGTCTATTTATAAAAACAGCAAATGAAATAGAAATGAATAGATCTAGGCACTGAGTATCAACATCTGCTTACATCCTGATGACAAAGCACACACCACCTGTCATCCTGCCGTGGCTGGAGACCAAACCCGGGTCTGACCAGGCCTCAGGATCCACCTGCTGACTTGCAGGAGAGAGAGGACAGCAGAGCCTGCTGAACTGCACCATGAATATGCCATCAGCAGTGTTCAGACTGTGGGAAGCACAGGTCACATGGCCTGGGCTCTTTCACAGCCTGGAAAGGAAAGAAAGGAGTGGAGGGGGAGGGAACCTGTAGGTTAAGATTAGACATACAGAATTTAAGAAAATGGGCAAGACACATTGTGGTGTCCAGGGATGCCCGCGTGGGTGATAAACCTCGTAAGGAAATGCAAGGAGATGCTTACCATGACAAAGGTGAGGCTTGTGGTTACTACTGTGAGAGGGAAGATGCTGGGACTGGGACAGGGGACATGGAAGGGGCCTCCGGAGGGGCTGGCCGTGTTCTATTTTTTGGCTGCGGAGACAGTTACAAGGTGTTCACCTTCAAAAAACTGATCTGTTTCTTGTGGTTTTCTCAATCTGTGTTTTACTTTATAGTAGAGACAAGAAAAGCTGGAGAGCTCACTGGATGAAAATGTGCTGGACAAAAGCGTGGTGAATTCCTCCCAACCCGAGAGGGGAAGCCTCTTCAGCTATAACTCAGGATCCAGAAACGATACGAGAAAAAATAAACAGTCTTGAACCTTTCACGTGGCAAAACGCCCCATATGCAAAGCCAAGACAAATTGGGAGAAAGTGTCTGTAACTTACATCACAGAAAAAGGGCGATCTCCGCAACATGCAGAGCGCGCTTAAGAGTGGACAGAGAAGATACCAAGCATCTGATAGAAAAATGAACACTTAAAAAGGGCCCCACGCGTCCACAGTGATACTAAAACAAGTGTGCTGAGGGGAGGGAGCGTCAGGTGACGAATGTGACAAAAAGAGTGTGAAAAGTCACCATTTAGGAAAGGTACATCATCAGATGGTAAAGTCACCCCATTTCAAAGCACCCCTTCTAGATGATGTACTAAGTACAAAGGGAAAAGGGAGCTTGCGACAGGAGAGCCAGTGGGCGCCACCCTAACCAGCCACCGGCAGGACGGCCTGCCGTCGCCTGCCTCAAACCGGAGACACAACTGCGACTTCTCAAATGTTCAGCCCGATCCCAACGCAAGGAACACACAGACCCAGAATGTCATACGTTCTACACAGACGTTTTGCTGGCCTGGACTGCAAAACTCACACAAAGTGCAGCTATGAAGAGCTGCTTAAAAGCTCCCTGCACGTATTAGGGCTCTCTCATCTGTGATGTAGACTGACCAAGTGGTGACCTGGCCATTTTGTTGGGAAATCCCTAAATGTCCCCGAAACCAAATCCTCCAGCCTATCCATGAGAGCCTGAGGCCCGCTGAATATGTAGACTTTCTCGAAGGTTGTCTTCGGCTCCTCCTCACCTCCCTGCACTGCCTCCCCTTTAAAGGCTTCTGAAGAAATGACAGTCTCCTAGAAATAATCAGTTACAGTATGATGTGGGAGTCATTGGATAGTCAAAGTGAGGGACCAGAAAGGGCAGATGAAAGGTGACCCCACTCCTGTTACCATTTGCATTTCTGTCCTGCCCCGCAAGGGCTGCCTGCTTGTCTGTTTCGGATTCCGCCTCGTTTTCATCGATGTTGTAGTCACTGCCTCCCAGTTTTGGCTGGTTTCTGCCTGTAAAATCAGCACATGAAACATAAGCTACACCACTTCTCTCTTATTGCCCCAGGGCACCAGAGCCCAGGGCTGGGGATTACCCCAATCACCGCTGAGCAATCAGGTCCTCTTGCCACCTCTCAGGAAATGGCAGGGACTCACCTGCTTGCCTGCAGTACAGATACCACGTGGGGGTTCTCTACTTATACAGCTTACCTCTGAATTGACATAAACTAGGCCCCCAAATGAAAGGCTATACTCCAGACTGGAAATGGGGAAATGAACTAAACTAAACCAAAACCCAGTTTTTTAAAGAGACACATCAAGGATAAAGAAAGGTACCACTGTTTTAGCAAACAGGTTTCTGGTTAATGACAGCATCTCCCTAGAAGGGCTCATGGCTCTGAGAGAGGAAACAGAGTTGCTGCTGTGACTCAAAGGACACAACTGTCTATGCCACATGCAGAATTCTCCCCGGAGAGAACAGCCCCAAGAACAGTAGATCAGGACAACATGCATTCAAGAGACCCATCCATTCAAATTTAACTTAAGCTTTTCATATTTACAGACAGGCAGGTAAACAAAATCTTTTTTTAAAGAAAGCAGGCCTGGCGAGTTGGCTCTGGTTCCCTCTCTCTGCACTCACTGCCTGAGGTGGGGACAAGGCACAGGCCCGCATGCCCTGCAGGTCTCTTCTCCAAATGAGGCCATCACCACCGCACCCGGGACCAGGTGCACCATCCAGGCCCTGTGGGGCTGCAGACCACCTTTAGCTGGGACACTTGGTGACTCTCACACTAGGAGCATCTTCTTGCTGGGCAGGCAAGGAAGCAAGGGGCCAGGCAGGAACACTTGGGGAGGCTGACAAAAGGCAATTCTTTAATTGGAACTTGTGAGGACACAGGTGTCTTCAGAAAGAGAAACTGAAGTACAAATTAGATTTAAATGAAATCAAGGTAACTTCTGCAAATAACAGTCCCCCTTATCTGTGGTTTCACTTTCTGTGGTTTTGGTTACCCATGGTCTGAAAAGGTTAAGTGGTAAATTCCAGAAATAAACAATTCATAAGTTAAATTGCACACTGTTCTGAGTAGCGTGATGTTATCTTGAGCCATCCCGCTCCATCTTGCCCGGGATGCGAATCCTCCCTTTGCCCAGGGTCTCCACGCTGTGGATAACCACCCGCCCATTAGTCACTTAGTGGCCCTCTCAGTTATCAGACCCACTGTCACTGGATCGCAGCACTTGTGTTCAAGTCACCTCTATTTTACTTAATAGTGGCCCCAAAGCACAAGAGCAGCGATGCTGGTATATCGTTATAACTGTTCTATTTTATTACTAGTTATTGTTGTGAATCTCTTCCTGTGCCTAATTTATAAATTAAACTATCATGGGTATGTACGTTTGGGAAAAAACTGCATATATAGGGTTTGGTACCATCCCTGTTTCAGGCGTCCATGGGGGGACGGCTGTAAGCACACTCCCCCAATTCTGTCACTTGGTCTGTCCCAGAGCACAGGTGTCATGTCTTCATAGGGGTTCCTGGCTCGGGTGGGATGAACATTCTTCACATCTTTAAGATACCAAAATACATCCCAGAATATTCTGTTGATCTCAGTTTCACACACTTTTATTTCTTTAAAAAGAAAAAAATCAACTGAATCAGGAAGGTGGGATGCACGTGTCACTTCAGCTCTGCTCGAATGCACACCGACCCCCACCCTCCCGTGACCTCCTGCCTCCCCTCCACCCCTGTGCACCGGGCATGAGCCACTGCGCTGCACCAGGCACTGCGGGACAAGCGGAGACGGTCTGTGGCCGGCCTGCCAGAGGCCAGGTGCTCCGAGCACAGCGCCGGGCCAGCTCTGAAAGCTAGAGTGCTACAGTGCGCTGCTCCTTCCTGCTTCCCGCTTGAGGACAGTGACAGACATCCTTCTGCCCAGCGTCAGGAAGGAGACTGGAGGGCAGAGAGCCTGGTAAAAGGACCGCGCACAGCCCGTGCCCCTCACCCACCTTCCGTGGCCACATCCTGCTCCTCCTGCCCCTCCTGCCCGTCAGGGACGAGACGCTGGTTCCGCTCAGCACCCTCAGTCTGCTGATTCTCCTGGCTCTCCAACGGCACAGCTGGCACCTGTGGGGTCTGGCCAAGTTCTCGGGCTCCCCCGAGGCCTGTGGCACCCACGGGTTTGTCGCCCGCAGCCTGCCCTCGTCCCGGCTCCTGCGGCAGCCCCAGGCTGTCCTTCCGAGGCTCTTCCTCGCTGCCGACCTGGATCTCATTGGTTTCCTCTGCACACAGAACACAGCGAGCTGTGACCTCACCAGCATTTACATGAATTAAAAAAGCAAACACGACCTCATGCCACTCAATTCCCAGAGCCCTCCCAAGGAGTCTGGGTAGAGTGGGCTGCGTCGGGGGAGCAGTTGGGTGACTTGGGACCTCAGCAGCAGACTGCAGGCCTCTCTGCATGGGCAGCTCATCTTCAAAGCCACAAGGAACGGAAACGTAGTTTAGGAAAAAACAATCTGGGCTAAATTATCTCGACTACTTACAGGTGGAGGAGGGTGTGCTGCTGAACTATGGGACTGTCGTTATCTATTGGAGACAAGCACTCGGGAGCCACTCAGGGACACAGCAGTCTCCACAGCTCCCAAGGACAGCTGCCCGGGCTCAGCCCCCTCCTCTCAATCCCACAGTCCCATCAACGTTCTGAATAAAGGTATAGCCTGGACCTTTCTTTACACGGCTGCCACAGCACAGGGCACTCAGTTTACAAGGACGAGACACAAGGAAGACAGAAGAAGGCCTGCAGCCTGGCACAGGTGCTCAGACCCTCGCCCGCTGCCTGCCAACCCCACCCCCAAGCTTGCAGCAAGCAGCGCTCTGCTCTCTTGAGTGTTAACATGGAGCAAATGAGCTGCTGGGCTCTGGGGCGGGCACAGGGAGTAACTGCAGGCTCATGCTCACCTTTCTCATCTCCTCTCTTCAAGTCCAAAGCCACCTTGAAACTGGGGGCTGGTGTCTGGACCTCGCTGGTGCTGGGCACGTTTCTGTTCTTCTGTGGCACATCTGCCTGTGGCAGGCCTGCTTCCTGCAGCCTGGGCTGAGGCTCGCTGACGCCTTGGAGCTGAAACAGGAGCAGAAGACAGCCAGGGTAGGGCTCATGACCAGAGCCTTCCAGAACCCCGTGCAATGCCATGCACCATCACATCCTTCCAACAAGTGACAACACCAAACCCCAGAAGTGTGACAATCTACCCAGGTTGCACCCTATCGTGTGGCATGTGTCAGAAGACGTGGGATGGAATCAAGACCTCCCATACAGCATCTTCAGTGTTGATAGGCAGAAGATCAAAAAGGAAAAGACACAAATGACACAATAAGCCACCTAGTCTGAACAGACATCTAAGGACACTCCACTCAACAAGAGTGAAATGCACATACTCAAGCACACGTGGAATATTTTCCAGGACAGACCTATGTCAGGCCACAAAGCAAGCCTCAACAAGTTTAAATGACTAAAATTATACCAAGTATGTTGTCCAGCCACAAGGAATGAATTTATAAATCAATAATAGAATGAAATTTAAGAAATTCACAAATGTGTGGGAATTAAACAGCATACTCCTAAATAACCAATGAGTCAAACAGGAAATCTCAAGGCAAATTAGAAAATACTTAAGAGACAAATGAAAACAAAAACATAACATACCAACACTTACGGGAGGCAGGTGAAGCAGAGCTTAGGGGAAAATTTATACCTTTAAACCTCTAGATTAAGAAATAAGACTTCTGGTTTCCAGTTCTTCATGTAAGGAGCTAAGAAGTCACCACTTGTTCCTAACAAGTAAAAAGCTGAACATACTCAAAAAAATCAATTCCTGAATCCATAAGAAGGGCAGGACACAAAGTAAACCACTGCCCCTAAGACTGGAGACAGCCAAATACGGGGAGTCAACAGTTCACCACAGGAGACTCAAGAGCAGAAACCACCATGGAAACCACTGACCCAGGGACAAGGTAGGAAAACCTGAACTGTAATTTATGAATTGCTGGAGGCTTGGTGTGGACAAGCCTGAGGGTTAAAAATTCCAAGGGGACCCAGTCATAAGTGGGCCTCCACACTTTTTTGTGAATTTTAGCTCTAAGAACTCAACCAGGTTCTCCCAATAAATTTTGGAGAAAAATCCTCTAGTGCTTCTGGCACTGGGAGAGGAAAAGGAACCATTTTGAATTAGGCCAGAACACTCTGTTCTCTTCAACAAGATCTGCCCTCAGGACAAACTATTGTTAACCGAAACCCAAGCTGCAGGGTTATTATCAGAGACCCCTCTCTAAAGGAAATGGACAGATCCAGCAGGCAGAAAATCAGTAAGGACATAGCTGAATTCAGCACTGGATACAATCAACATCTACAGAGTACACTCAACAACAGCTGAATACACATTCTTCTCAAGCTCACAAGGGACATTACCAAGATAGACCACATTCTGGGCCACAGAACACACCTTAACAAGTCTAAAAAAACAGAAATCATACAATGTCTGCTCTCGAACCACAATGGAATTAAACTATAAATCAATAACAAAACGATGTGATAAATACTCAAAAAATGTGGAGATTAAACAACAAACTTCTAAATAACACGAGTCAAAGTAAAAATCTCAAGAGAAATTAAAAAACATTTTGGCCTAAATGAAAATGAAAACACAGCTTATCACTACTTTGGCATCCAGTGAAAGCAGTCTTAGAAAGAACTCTACACCACTGAATGCACATATTAGAACAGAAGATCTAAAACCAATAATCTAAGTTTCTACCTTAGGAAACTAGGGAAAAAAAAACCCCAAAACTAGCAAATTAAATCCAAAGTAAGTAGAAGAAAAGAAGTAATAAGAATTAGACTGGAAATCAATGAAATTGAAAACAGAAATCAACAGAGAAATATCCATAACACTAAACGCTTTGAAAAGATAGATAAAACTGATAAGCCTCTAGCCAGTCTCACTAAAAAAATAAATATAAAAGAGAGGACACAAATTATTAATATCAGAAATGAAAGGAATCTATGCAAATTCCATGGACAGTAAAAGGATAATAAAGTAATACTATGGACACCTCTATATCTGCAAATTTGATAACCTAGATGAAATGGATCAATTCCTTGAAAGACAAAATTTGCCAAAACTCTCACAAGAAGAAATAGACAATCTCAATAGGCATAAATTTATTAAAGAAATTGAATAATTATTAATAACCTTCCAAAACAGCACCAGGCCCAGATGAGTTCACTGGTGAATTCTACCAAACATTTAAAAGAAATTGTACCAATTCTCTACAATCTTTTTTAGAGCATAAATGCATGGGGAATACTTTCTAACTCATTACATGAGGCCACCAAAACCAAAGACATTACAAGAAAAGAAAATTCCTGACCAATATCTTTCACAAACACAGATGTGAAAATTCTCAGCAAGATATTAGCAAACATGCAAGGTCTGTTCAACATTTGAAAAATCAATTAATGTACTTCATCACGTCAACAGGCTGAAAAAGAAAAATGACATGATCATATCAATAAATGCAGAAAAAGTATTTGACGAAATCCAAACCCACTCATGATAAAAGCTGTCAGTAAACTAGGAATAGAAAGGAATTTACTCAACTTGATAAAGAATAGCTACCAAAGAGCAAAAGAACAAACAAAACCCTACAGCTAATATCTTATTCAATGATGAGAAATGTGAAGCTTTGCACTAAGATCAGGAACAAGGCAAAGATGTCCCCTCTTACCAGTCCTTTTCAATATTGTACTAGAAGTCCTAGCTAATGCAATAAGCCAAAAAAGGGGGGGGGGAATGTACAGAAATAAGCTTTATTTGCAGATGACTTTATTTGGCCAATTAAAAACAGACACTTCACCAAAGAAGATATACAAACAGTAAATAAGCATATAAAAAGATGTTCCACATGTTATCAAGAAAATGCAAATTAAAATAACAATGAGATAACACTACACAACTATACATCACACTGTGTATGATACTGTAACGATGGACACGTCATACATTTATCCAAACACATAGAATGTACAACACCAAGAGTGAACCCCAATGTAAATTATGGACTTTGGGTGATTATAATGTATCAGTGTAGGTTCTTCAATTGCAACAAATGTACCACTGTCGTGGGGGATGTTAATCATGGGGGAGGCTGTGCATGGGGGAGAGGAATATGTGGAAAATCTCTGTACCTTCCTCTCAATTTTGCTGTGAACCTAAAACAACTCTAGAAAAACAAAGTCTTTTAAAAAGAAAGAATAAAAATCTCAAATGAACAACCTAACTTCCTCTTTATAATACTGGAAAAAGAAGAGCAGACTAAACCTGAAGCAAGGAAGGAAATAATAAAGATTAGAGCAGAAATTAATAAAATAGAGAATAGAAAAATAATATGGAAAATCAACAAAACCAAAAGTTAATTCTTTGAAAACATGCACTAAACTAACAAAACTTAAGGGAGATTAATCAAGGAAAAAGAGAGAAAGCTCAAATTACTAAAATGAAAAATGAAAGATGACATCATTACTGAACTTACACAAATAAAGTATCATAAGGGAATACGAGCAAGTGTACGCCAACACGCGCGTGATAACTCAGATGAAATGGACAAGTTCCTAGAAACACAAACTACCAAAACTAACTCAAAAAGAAACTGAAAAATCTGAGTGGACCTATAACAACTAAGGAGATTGAATTAGTGATAGTAATTTTAAAACATCCCACCCAAGGCCCACCCTGTTTGTTACCAGATAGCCACCAAAAAAACAAGCAAACAAACAAACAAAAAACTTCTCACAAAGAAAAGTCCAGGCCCAGATGGCTTCACTAGTGAATTGTACCACATTTAAAGAATCCCAAATCTTCACAAACCCTTCCAAAAAACAGAACAGGAGGGAATACTTCCCAACTCATTCTATGAACCCAGCATTACCCTGATACCAAAGCCAGAAAAAGATATTACAAGAAAACTATGGACCAGTATCTCTTATGAATATAGACACCAAAATCCTAAACAAAATACCAGCAAATCAAATCCAGCAAAATATAAAGGATTTAGGGCCGGCCCGGTGGTGCACTGCATAAGTGCGCCGCTTGGGAAGCGCGGCGGCGCTCCCGCCCGAGGGTTCAGATCCCACATACAGACCGGTTCCCGCTCACTGGCTGAGCGAGGCGTGGGAGCGGCGCCAAGGGTTGCGATCCCGTTGCCGGTCCCCGGTCCGGTACGGGGGCAACACTGAGGGTTGCGATCCGTTGCCGGACACGGAAAAAGATAAAAAGACAAAAAATAATAATAATAAATAAATAAAGGATTTAAACCAAGTATGCAAGGTTATTTTCACATCCAAAAATCAATTAATGCAATATACCATGTCAATATCATACAGGACAAAAAACACAGGATCATCTCAATATATGCAGAAAAAGAATCTGACAAAATCTAACACTCTTCTTGATAAAAACATTCAGCAAATTAAGAACAGAAGGGAACTTCCTCAACTTGATAAAGGGCATCTATGAAAAACCCACAGTTAGCATCACACTTAATAATGACTTTACCCCAATGATCAGGAACAAAAGGGTGTCTACTCTCACCACTTCTACCTAACATTGTAAAGTGGGTTTCAGCCAGGGCAATTAGGTAACAAAAAAATAAATAAAAGGCATCCAGATTGGAAAGAAAAAAATACTACTACCTCTATTTGTAAATGACATAATGTTGTAAATAGAAAATCCTAAAAACCACCAAAAAACAAAACAAAACAAAAAAGCCTACTATAACTAATAAGCAAGGTTACAAAGATACAAGATCAATATAAAAAAATGAATTGTATATCTCTATACACTAGCAATGGACAATTTGGAAATAAAATTAAGAAAACAATTCCATTTATAACAACATAAAAAATACTTAGAAGTAAATTGAACAAAAGAAGTATAAGACTTCTTAAAACTATAAAACATTGTTGAAAAAGATTTTTAAAAGACCTAAATAAGTGGAAAGACATCCCACATTTATGCACTGCAAGACTTAATGTTAAGATGGCAATATTCCCCAAACAGATCTATACACATTCAATGTAATTCCATCGAAATCCTACCTGGCTGGTTTTGTTGAAGAAATTGACATGCCGATTCTAAAATTCATTATGGAAAGTCAAGAGATGCAGAATAGCCAAAACAATATTGAAAGAGAACAATAAAGTTGGAGGACTCACTTCCTGATTTCAAAGCTTACTGCAAGGCTACAATAACTAAAACTGTGTGGTACTGACATAACGATAAACAAATGTATCAATGAAACAGAACTGAGAGTCCAGCAACAAACTCTCATAGTAAACTAATTTTTGACAAGGAAGAACAGTCTTTTTTTCAACAAATGATGCTGAGACTACTTGATATCTGCATGCAAAAGAAGGAAGCTGGAGCCCTACCTCACACCACATGTAAAAATTAAATTACCTAAAAGTGGATCATAGGCCTAAATGTAAGATCTAAGAACTATAAAAGTCTTAGAAGAAAGCATAGGAGTAAATCTTCATGATCTTGGGTTAGACAAAGTATTCCTAGATATGACACCAAGAACAAATAACAAAATAAAAATTAGATAAAATCAACTGTGTCAAAATTTAAGACTTCTGTGCTTCAACTAAACACCTTCAAGAAAGTGAAAAAACAACTCACACAATTGGTAAAAATATTCACAAATCATATATCCAATATATGTTTATATATGTAGAATATATAAAGAACTCTTACAACTCAATAAAAAAAATAAATCAAATAACTCAATTAAAAAATGGGCAAAGAATCTGAACAGACATTTCTCCAAAGATGACATACAAATGGCCAATAAAGCATATGAAATGATGCTCCACATTATTAGGCACTAGGGAAATGTAAATCCAAACCACAATGAGATACGACTTCACACCCACCAGGAAGAGTATAACAAAAAGGGCAAATTATAACAAGAGTTGGCAAAGATGTGAAGAAACTGGAATCCTGGTAAACTGCTGGTGGGAATGTAAAATGATGGGGCTGGAAGGCAGTCCGGCAATTTCTCAGTAAGTTAAATATAGATGACCACACGACTCTTCACTCCCAGGTATTACCCAGGAGGAATAGAAACACATGCCCACAAAGAAGCTTGTACACAAAGGTTCACAGCAGTGGTACAACAGCCAAAAAGCGGAAACATCCTAAATCCCATCAGCTGACACTGAGTAGACAACACGTCGTGTCCACACAACGGGACATTGCTCAGCCATAAACAGGAATGAAACACTGACCCAGGCTACAACATGCGTGAACCCTGACAGCATCACACTAAGTGGAAGAACCAGACACAAAAAGCCACATGTGATTCCATTGACAGGACGTGTCCAGATAAGGCAAATCTACAGAGACAGAAAGAAGATCAGTGGCTGTGGGGGCCGGAGGTGAATGAGGACAGAGCTCATGGGCACAGGGTTTCTTTGGGGGCAATAAATTGATTGTGGTGATGATTGCACAACTTTGTGAATATATCAAAAACCACTGAGTTGAAAACTTTATATGGGTGAATTGTACGGTACATGAATTTTCTCTCAGTAAAGCTGCTATACTTAAAAGCAAACAAGCAAAGGTCCCCAGAGGCCTCGAGCTGCTGTTTCCGAGGCTGTGCTCTGTGCTGGTGGCAGGATGACAGAACAGTGGAGTCTGACAGATCTGAGCTCCTGACAGGCTCCACCACTGACCACGTAGGCAACCCTGGCCATACCATAGTACGTAACTGTCTCCATGGGTCTCAGCGACCTCAAAACCCCAGCAACTCTCTCCCAGGGTGGCTGCAAGCTTTAAAGGAAATGATTCTTGTAGAGCCCTGAGCGTGGGAGCGGGCCTCGAGGCCAGCATGCCGGTGGGAGTCTGGGCAACCGGGACCAGGCTCTGCTCTGCGGGACCTCAGGGAACCAAACCCTCAAGGCAGAGCAGAGATGAGAGCAAGTCAGAAGCAGATAAAAGCAACAAAAGGCCTGAAGAGAGGACAGGAGCACCATTCGAAATTCTTGGCAGAAAATTCCCCACATTACCTGCTGACTTTGGCCTTTGTTGACACTCCGGTCTCTGGGTGCTGCAGCCTCACCTCCCTTCCTGGTGACCTCTTCTATCCGCTCCTCACACAGTTCCTTTGCCTCTTTCATCTGACTGATGCACTGGCTCCTGCAGTGGGAGAAAGCAGGACGGACGGGGGAATGACAGATTGGGGATTACGGACGTGTCTATGCGCCACGCATCCCCACTGGACTGGGAGATCCGCTTCAGTAGGAGACACAGCCCCTCTTCCTCCTGCTTTGGGCACTTTCTCCGAAGAGGACACAAGACAGAGCAATGTATGTGTTTTCAACTATTCATTGGCAAAAAACTGCAGTTAACTGAAACTCACTAAAAAGTTGTCACATTGTTCTAAGATAAGTAAACTTTATTGGTTAGTAGAAAAACCAATTTTAAAGAATAAAACAATATATGTGGTCTTTGTCCCTGGCTACTGGCACAGAGCTGCTAAAACCCTCAGAATTTCTTTAGTATCTTTTGCTATTGATAAGAAGCCCCTTTGAATGAGACCTGAATTTATGCTAATGAGGTTGTGTGCGTGTGCGTGTGTGCAGGGGGTTTGTCGTCGTTAGATAGCTTCAGGATGGGGGCTGATGGCCAGAGGAACCAACCCCATGACTGGACGTCTGGAACTTCCAGCTCCACCAGCTCTGGGGAGGGCGAGGGGTTGTAGAGTGAGTTCAATCACACAGCTAATGATTTAAGTGACTACATAATGAAACCCAGATAAAAACTCTTGAGCACGAGGCTGAGTGAGCTTCCTGGCTGGTGGACATATTGATGCACTGCAAGGGCAGCATCCTGACCACAGGGAAAGAAGCTCCTGTCCTCCCCCACTCACCGCCTTTACAAGTCTCTACCATTTGGCTGTTCCAGAGTTGTGTCCTTTATAATAAAACTGTGAGAGTAAGTAAACTTTCCTGAGTTCTCTGAGTCTTTCTGGCGAATGATCAAACCTGAGGGGGGTGGCAGGTGGCCCTGAATTTGTAGCCAGCCAGGCAGAACTGTGGGTGACTGGGGACACCCAGGATGGGAGCAGTCTTGTAGGATTAAGCCCCTTAGCCTGTGGGGTCCGCACTAACTGTGCAGTGTCAAAATTGATTGACACCCAGCTGTCAAAGAACAGCTATTGGAATGTCCTTTGAGGCACTGCTTCAGCTTTCTGCCTGGAATTTATTTTAGAAGCACTTCAACAAGTGTCAGAGCTACAAATTAACTCAAAGAATTAGCTTCCTTATTTGCAAAAAGTTGGATAAGAGGTGACCTAATTGTCTGCCATGGGCCAGGCACAGAGAGAGAGAAACTACTAAGGCTGAAAGGAGAAGCCAGCCTCAAGGTTTCCTGACTGTGTGGGGCTCTCTAGCACATGGCCCAGCACATGGCCCACCTTTCCTGAGTCCCAGGCATTTCAGAGCCAAGTGTGAGTGCCACACTAGCCTCTAACTCTTGGAATATGCCCTCAGCTCCAAGCAGCACTGGCTCACAGCATACCACTCACATCACAGTATCTATCGGTTGCTGTAGAAACAATGAAATGCAGATTTCCCGACCTTGGACAGCTGAGAGAAAAAATCCACTTAAATAAAATGATCACAAACATACAAGCTATAGGTGGCAGACTAGTGCACAGGAGCTTAAACACAGCAAACAAAAACAGAGACATCTGTATACTGAGGAACTAAACAAGCAGGTCACTTGCTATTCTTGAACCTTTAAAACTACAAAAGGGAAATACGCGTAGTAACTGCTCCCAGCCCTGCCAAAATGAAGTACAAAGGGCCTCTCTCTCTCAGCCTTGCAGAAGTTCAGCTTTCCACATTCCAGCTCAACAGCACAAGCGGAACCACCTCAGTCTGAAGTTCACATTCTGGGACACAGGTTATGCAGACTGTGACAGTGTGACTTCCTGAAGGACTCAGGGTGGCTTTTTCTTACACGTACTTGGCAAATGTTCAGGCATTAAGTGGAGCTAAATTGTAGAGACATAGAGGACTTAACCACTAGTGATTCTTCTAGCTGGTACATGGTGGCTGGAGGACCAGTAACGTGCTCAGCACAGGAACCCATCCAGGCAGGTGAGCCCATCACCCAGGACACGGACCGGCAGAACACTTCTATTGCACTCCAATACTAACATCTGCAAACCCTGTGTCCCCGTGATATGGAGACGAGGTGGCCAGAGGTTCACCTCACGTGCTGCCTCTCAATGCTTTGAGGAGAAAGTGCAAGGCTATGTTTGGCTGAAGTGTGGCGACATCTTAGCGATGCAGGTGCAGGAGTCCGCAGGCAGGAGTGCTGACTTACTGAGCGAATAAGAGCGACTTGTGCACCAGCCTTCCATCAGCTCACGCTCTCAGCGCTGCTCCCTACACGAGGAGGAGGCCGGCCAGGGCGTTTTAGCCGAGGGAGTGCAGGTGTGCGTCAGGGCCTGTGAATTCCTGCACACTGAAGAGCACACGACTTCACGCACATGTCCATTTATACATTTGCCAAAAACGTGTCCACACCTTTTACCGGAAAAAAGGGTCTATAATCCAAAGAAAGTTAAAAACTAGCTGTCTTTTTTTAATTGATAGTGTATTTTTAAAAAAATTGATTATATGTTTGTGGGGTACAGAACAGAATATCAATACAAGTGTACAATATGTGGTGATCAAATCAGAATAATTAGTACAGTCATGTTTACAAAACGTGATCAATCTTTGTGACCCTTAACTAGCTTCTCACAAACCCCCTACCCCCTTTCCCATCTCTAATAAGCTACTCGCTCTTTCTACCTTCCAACGTTCCATGAAAATCACACCGGAAGGCATCCCTACAGGGCCTTGGGCACAACTAGTGAAACAGATGCATTCGGCGGCCACAAACAGCTCTTAATCTAGCTGTGCACCCCCTGCGAGAAACAGCAGCACGCCCTGCAGCCCTGCACGCACTGCCCTGCAGCCCTGCACGCACCGCACCAGGTGAGCCCCTGCTGCTCTGTCCCTGAGCCCCGGCTGACTTCCAGCTAGGTCAAAATCCTCTGGGTCAACATTTATCAAATGAGGCCATTAATGACTCTTTTCATTTCAATCAATAGAGTGGGAATATTTGCATTAAGGTGTCTTTTAAGGAAAAATAAGACGATGACTAAGGTTCTTCATTTTTGTCGGAGTGCAATGCTTTGACTATCAGCCTAACTTAGGGTTTCTCACCTTCAGCTCTCTAGACTTCTAGGGCCAGATAAAACTTAAGTGTGAGGAGCCATCTCGTGCACTGCAGGGTGCTCAGCAGCATCCCGACCACTACCGGCTGGATGCCAGTAGCACCAGCCCCTCAAGTAGTGACAAACAAAAATGTTTCCAGACATCGCCAAAGGTCTCCTGGGGGCAACACCGTCCCCACCACTGGCACAGCTAAATAAGGCTCCACATGCATATTTTCCAGTCATGTTTCCTTTGTTTTGACTATTTGTTCATGTCCTCTACATCGTTACGTACCTGGGGCTTTGTGTTTTTAGTGGTGCTCGGTTCTGAATGATCAGGAAGAGACTGCGGCTAGTGGAAGACGTTTTGGAAGAACACGGGAACCCCCACGAGGGCAGCGGATGGGAGGAAACTACTCTCCTATGCGGCTGTGACCGTACAGGAGGCTCAAATCCCCTCGGGAAGCAATTTGGCAATTCACACTTAGTGGCAAGCTAAACCCACAGTTGAATCTCTTTTAGAAGAAAATAACCCCAAATAATTTTTAAATGATAAAACATTTCAGAGCTACATGGATTTTTTTAAATATATAATTCAAGTAAGTGAAAAAATGGTTTAAAAATGTTTATGGTGACTGCAGTTATGCAAAAAATTCATATAAACTTGGGCGTGGATGGGAGAGAATTAAGTCAAAGGAAAAAGAACAGTTGTGTGCGGGTGGGGTTCGTGGGTGGGTGGTTCTCTCTGAATGTTGCACTTCCTGTGCTTTAGTTATACTGTTTTTATGAGAAAAAAGGGGGAAAAATAGACTACAACTTTACTCTGTACCCTGTAAACTGGTTTTTACTATCTTCCCAATGGGTTTAGCCCACTTTTTAAATGTTTGTTGTTTTGTTTTGATTATAAAGTACTACATTCCCACTGCAAAAATTTGGAAAAACACTGAAAAAAACCTCAAGAAATCAAAATGCCCACAATGCCAACCAGCCATAAATTGTACTAATATTTTGCCAAAATGTCTTTTAGTCTATGGATTTTGATTTAGCTCACGTCTGAGGAACTTTTGGAACACACTTTTAAAGGCTTTAGACTGTTGACTTACCAGTACACCTGTACTTTATAGAGTATAAAGTTATGTTCAGTTTTCAAGTACGTTGAGTAATTCATTTCCTGATGTGTGTGTGTGTGTGTGTGTGTGTGTGTGTGTGTACACACATACGTTTCTTATTTACTTTGTATTGTGAGCCCCCTGACCCACACTTACTCATGGCTTTCTGAAGCACTGCCGACACATACAAGATAAAATGCATAATTTCTGCAGGAATGACCCCTTGAAGGGGCTCTTCCTCACAGAGCCCTGTGTGCACCAGAAAGAGCCTGCTCTGTAACAGCAGGAGCAAGTGGACACTACGCTGGGCTGTCCCATGCCCTTGTCTTAAAACGCGTTGGCATCCCAGATGTTGTGCACTTGATTCTGAGACACACTTACAGGTCGTAGGAGAACTTCCTCTCCAGGTTGGTCTGGTTCTTCTGGAACTGCAGAACCTCCTGCTGCAGCTTGCCATAATTCCTCTGCAGGGCCTTTAGCTGGTCTGAGCCAAAAGGGCACAAGGAATTGCACAGGTCATTGGCACGACCGTCACGCGTTCAGCCCAAACATGACAACAGCAGACACACTTGGAAGCACAGAGGGCAGTGACACAGGGGAAGAGGAGCGGACAGAGAAGAGGATGAGAACACAGCGTTTCCCAGGTCATCGCCGCAGCCCAGCCACAGACACTGCCCTGGAAGCTCAGCAGTCCTACAGGAACCCGCATCTGGATTCTTTTTCAAATGTCTCTCTTAAATCTCCCTTTTGATCTCCAACTCTTAAAATATGTTGGGAGCTTCTATTTGCCTGTTTCTTTCCTGGACATCATAAGCCCCAAACTGTCCCAAAAGGTCACACACACCACTGTGTCCCTTGCCCCCTGCAGATTTATGTGGTTTCGACATTTGGTCCGATAAGCAGCCACTCCCGCTGGACAATATCCTGCCCTCGGCCAATATCCTTCTGTCATTTATTCACAGCCAAGCGAATCTCCAAGGACCTGTGTTCATTTAACCCCCCAACCCCTCTTCTCAGGGTAATGGTAGCTTTCTTTGAGGAAACTCATCAGCCCCATCCACTCTGCCCTGACTACCCGGCTCACAAAAGCTCTACAGAAAGAGCAGCAGCTGACAAAAGGGCCTCGCTGGGGTGGCAGGAAAAGCAGCTACAGAGGTGACAGCAGAGTGGGCAGATGGCAGTAAGCAGGGTGTACCCCAAGGTCTGTCCTCACAACGCCTGACCTGCAAGACTCTCTGGAGGGAAAATAAAATTAAATAAAACTCAAGGATTCCATGAACCACTGATCCACACAAAATGAGCCAAACTCAAAACATTTATATGACATCTTCAAAAAGACGAAACTGTAGCACAGGGAACAGCTCAGTGGGGGCCTGAGGCCGAGGTAGGGGAGGGGACTGACCACACGGGGGCTCGGGAATGGGGGGGATCGATGACACCTGCTGTATGTTGACAGTGGTCTGTGAGACTAAGCATTTGCCAAAACTTACTGAAATGCACACTGCAAAGAGAAAACTTTATTGTATATAAATTATACTTCAACAAACCTAACTTTAAAGAAAAAGATTCCATGATCAAACTAAGTATGGGACAACGAAATACTGCTCAGCAGGAAAAAGGAATGAACTATTGATATCCATAACAGCATGGATGAATCTCAAAATAATTATGCTGAGTGAAGGAATCAAGACAAAAGAAGGGTAGTATAGTCTGATTCCATATATAAATACACACACACAACTATTATAAATTCAAGCTAATCTACAAGGACAGAAAGCAGATCATAAGTTCCCTGGGGGTGGGGAGGGGAGGACTACCAAGGGGCACAAGCAAGCTTCTGGGAGTGACTGATGTGTTCACCACGTGGACTTTAGGAGTGGTTTCTTGACATGTACACCTATGTCAAGATTTGTCAAACCGTACACTTTAGGTGTAGTTCATCAGTTGACAAATATGCATGACTAAAGCTATTTAAAAATACTAAGTATTGGAAAGGCTACAGGCCATATCCCTGTTTGGTGACTGACCAGTGGCGATAGCAGTCACAAGCTCTGAGAAGCCCACGGCAGTCAGGTAACCTCTTTAACTTTGTGTAACCCATATTTCCCAAAAGCAAATTTGACAAAACAACCCCTTTTCACATAAGACCTGTTAATATGCTTATGATCTGATCTGGAACTAGAAATCCAGACCAGCACTGTCCAATAGAACTATAATGCAAGCCACACAGGGAATTTTAACTTTCCCAGTAACCACATTTTGGAAAAGTAAATAAAATCAGGAGGAATTAATTTTAATGATATATTTTATTTAACCCAATAGGTACAAAATATTATCATGCCAACATATAATGAATATAAAAAGTATGAATTAAATATTTTAAATTATTTTTTCATACTGTCTTTGGAATGCAGTGTGTATTTTATAATTATAGCATATCTTGATTCATTTGTTAAATTTTCATTAGAAATTCTCGGCTGGAATTTAGACTTCATAAAATGTACAGTTAAGAAGGAGATTCATATGCCTAGGTTGTCCCAAACATACTTAATTTTCCCAATAACTGAGTCGAGTATCCGTTTTAAATTTAAATGACTGAAAATTTAACAAAAACTAAAAGTCCAGTTCTTCTGTCTCATCGGCTACGTGTCAAGTTCTCACAACCACATGGGACTCGTGGCTCTAGACTGACCTTCCCATTTTAGAGAAGTGGAAACCGAGGCTCTGGGGGCCTACTGAGCTCCCCAACTGGGACCACTGCTCCTTTAACCACATTCTCAGGCCACACTGGGCCTGCAAATGCCTTCAGCCACAGCGGAAGGGGGTGACCACCCAGGGGACTTCACCCCATCTACTGCCCCACCGCTGCTTCAGAAGGACCCAGAGAAAAACAAAGCCCAAGCTGCCAAACTGAAGTGCCACAGCAAAGAAATGGGACTAGATTAGGCTGGACAGTTTTTTATGTTTCATGAAGAAAATCTAAATTCAGGGTGACCCTATTAAAACAGTTCATATATCTGCTATGTATCACATGAGGGTACTTTAAAAGCTTATAGAAAAATAAAATTGAAAGGTAATATGAATCTCTCCACAAACACTGTGAAGTATCCTCATATATGTGTATATATAAAACAGATGACATATATGTGTATCGAATATTTCTTAACATATTTATAAATGAGAATCTGAATTCTTCTGTACATAACAGCTTGCAATGTATCCAGTATTATTTTTAAAAGAAAAAGCTTTGAATAGGCGAAAAGAATAAACTAGAGATTGCTCAGTGACTCAGAACAGCACCCATCACAAGCCCGTGGCTGGACAGAGCACAGGTGGGTTTCGCGCAGGCAGTGCCTGGTGCAGAGGTGGGAACAGAACTCACCTTGCAGGACTCTGATGAGTTTCTCGCTCATGGTGATATTATTCACTAACACCGCCTGCAAGGAAGACAAACACACAGTGACACCCCTGCAACCTAACGACGTGGCCTTAATCAGACACACTCGTTGGAAAAAAGGAAAGGAGCAGCCCCTCCCCCAAGCCACAGCAGCCGGGCATTCAGCTCCCTGGCTGGGCTATCCCACATCTGCAGACAAAGAGGAACACACCTGCTTAGAGATTTTGCCTTCCAGCCACCAGCCTGTAACCTGAGGAAGGCATAAGGACCCTCCTCGGGGTCACTGCAGCTCCAGAACAGCACTGCTCTCCAGTGGAAGGCCCTCACTGGCACAGCTCTGGGCAGCCAGAGGGGCAGGGCACCCCCACCCCATGACACCTCCTTCCTCCTGACCACAGCCCACAAGCTTGGGGGTGCACGCTTTCACACACAGTAACACCAAATTGGGAAAGTCATCAGCAGGGAAGGGAAGAAGCAACACAGGACCCAAGTGAACAATGAAAACAGGGGAAACAAAGGCAGCGAGCGTGGAGGGAAGGTGAGGGCTGGCCGGAGCACAGGCGCCCTCCTGCTAGCTGCTCTGCAGACACTTCACGTCTGTTCGCTCATTCACCCTTCACAACAGCTGCACGAGGGGCCAGGGTATTACCCCGTTTTAGAGGACAGGAAACTGAGGCACAGACTGCTGACGTGGCTCACGGTCACATGCCTGTTAAGAGGCAAAGCCGAGCCCTGGCCTCGGCAGGCAGGTTCCAGACAGTTAGTGCTTCATGGCCACGCCCAAATCACTGCAACCCTGAGCAAACACCAACCCGTGGGCTAAACCCCGCGCTAAAAGCAAGCAAACCCTGAAAAAGAGGGGAGAGAGGGGAGCAGAACATTGACACCAGAGTGTGCCGCACACACAGCACCTACACACGCATGGTGGCCATCCTGTGACTTTTCTTACTGGGTCCTCCCCAACAAAGTCTGCAAATGCTCCACTACTCGGCATGGTGCCTGTGATGGGAGACACATTTCTGTCCCACTCCTGGCTAGTGGTGGTGACAATGATGACAAGCACACCACCTCCCCCTCCTGTGCCTCCCACTTCCTCTTGGGCCCCTCTGTGCAGCCATCGTGCTTTCTTAGGCCTGCACAGAGATAAGGCTTGTCGGAAGCAACAGCTTTCTGGAGTAGGGTGGTGATGAACACGGGGAGCTCGCCAGGAAATGAAAACTGGCCAAAGGAATCTGGTGTTTATTTTGGGAGATCTGAGGACATGGAACATCTTCCTGGGGCAAGAGAAGTCACCTATTTGTAAAATTCATCCTTCAGGGAGAAATTATCCGGAGGTGTTTCTAGATACTCCACATGGGCAGAGGGTAGAGAACAGCAGGTGACAGGAGGAGCCGCACAGTGGGAGTCAGATTTACACAGCTTGCGCTCCTGCTGCTCTTAGAGAAAGCTTGCAGACACTCAACCGAAAAGACAAAAGACTACCACAGGATCCTGCAAACCCACTCCTGGGTATACACCCAGAAGAATTCAAAGCAGGATCCCCAAGAGATATCTATCCCCCATGTTCACAGCAGCATCGTGCACAATAGCCAAGAGACGGAAGCAGCCCACGTGACCAGATAGACAAGTGGATAAACAAAAAGCGGCGTGCACATACGTGGCATAGCATGCAGCCTGAAAAAAAAGAAATTCTGACACATGCTGCAACATCGACAAACCTCAAGGACATCATATTAAGTGAAATAAGCCAGTCATAAAAGGACAGATACCATATGATTCTACTCACATGAAGCACTGAAAGTAATCAGAATCACAGAAACAGAAAGTAGAAAGTGGTTGCCCAGGGCTGGGGGGAGTCAAAAGGGGAATGAGTGTTTAGTGCATATAGAGTCTCAGTGTTACAAGATGAAAAAGTTCTATGGATCTGTTGCACAACAATGTGAATACACATCACTGAAATACACACTTAAACTTCCACCCTGCACAGGTATCAAAACCACCTTTCCTCTGAACATTAGCACTAAAACAAAGGGGGGGGGGGGGATAAAAAAAAAAGGAACGCTTAAATGATTATACATTGATTATCCCCAAAGCTCCCATCTGCTGGGTAAATCATTTCTATAAAAATTATGGCAATTTGACTTGTTTCTTTTCCAACCATTCCCCTGGGCCCCTCCGCCCAAAAATCCATATTAGAGGTCGCAACTATCTAAGAGCACAGGAATTGCTGCAATTTGAAGTATCTGTAGGTATTTGTCTCCATGTAACTTTATTCTTCCAAAGAAAATATATTTTCAGTACCTTCTCCCACCTACTTGCAAAAGTAAGCTTCTGCATGGAAAAATACAGCCTCCACTTAAGAAAATGAAAAAAGAATCATAAAATGCCATCAGGACCTTTTATATGCTGTTTTATATTTATAGAAAATCTTCTTGAAACGTTTTCAGGAAAACTATGAAAATGCTTCCTAGCTTCTTTTGGTTTTCACATTTGGGGGCACAGTGACTTCGGGGGTAGCTGTGCTCAGAGGTGTTTGTGAACTGGCCTGAGGACACGCGGTCACAGGCACGGAAGCAGTAAGAGCCACCAGAATTACCTGGAAACTAAACTTGAAGATGTACAAATTTGTTATAACCATTCTATTCTAGGAAACAAGTAAGTGTATTTAACTGAACAATTTCTGCATTAGATTGCTAGAAAAATAAGCTTAATGTTTTATAGTAAATTTTCAAAGCAGCAAATCTACAGTAAATTATCACATTTTGAAAGCTCATGAAGATGTAAATAACTAATTTTAAAAATACTAACTCTTGGGCCGGCCCGGTGGCGCACTCGGTAGAGTGCGGCGCTTGGGAACGTGGCGGTGCTCCCGCCGAGGTTTCGGATCCCATATAGAGACCGGTCTGCTCACTGGTTGAGCGCGGTGCGGGCGCGACACGGAGGGTTGCGATCCCATTACCGGTCACGAAAAAAGACAAAAAGGAAAAAAAAAAAAAATACTAACTCTTGAAAAGCTCACTTAGAAATGTAATGCTGATCCCATTATAAGGAAGAGAAGGCAACTTTTACTGCTGTATCTGTTTGACTCATAAAAATAATCAGCCTGCTTTGGGGATAGCAGGAGGGGGGTGAACGCTTTACCTTTAAGCCTTCCTTAAAGAGGACCCTCATTCTATCCAACCCTTGTCAACCCAGCAGTCAGGTGTCTTGATAACTTCTCTGTAATGAAATTCCTGTTTCTGCCTCAGGGAGAATAACCTTAAAAAGCAAGTCAACCTCCGTGACCTGGGCAAGACATAAGAATGAACGGAAGAGCGTGTAGTCCTCACGAGTCTTCTTTTTACCTCCTGCCAATTTCAGAATCTCCCAGAGCCGTACTGTCCAGAAGAAATCAATGTCAGTCCCATACGGAAGTTAATTTTTTAGTAGCAGCATTCAATTAAGTAAAAAGAAACAGGTTGGGCAAAGAATTTGAATAGACCCAAGAAGACAGAAATGGCCAATAAGCGACATGAAAGATGCTTAACACCATCCGACATCAGAGAAATGCAAATCAAAATCGGAAGCGATCACTCACATTCGCCAGTATGGCCGTAAGTTTAAAAGAGGTAAATGACAAGTGTTGATGAGGATGAGGAAAAACTGAAGGGAAACTGGACTCTCGTACACAGGTGACGAGAAGGTGGGTGCAGCCCTGTGAAAAAGTCTGTCGGTGCCTCAAAAATTATACATGGAGTTGCCATATGACCCAGCAGTTCCACTTCTAGGTACATACCCCAGAAAAATTAAATCATATCTCCACACAAAAACCTGTCCACAAATGTTCACAGCAAATTCACAACAGCCAAAAATGGAAGCAATGCAAATGACCACCAGCAGATGAGTGAACAAAGGAAATATGGTATATCCACATAATGGAATAGTATTCAGCCATGAACAGGAATGAGGTGCCGACACATGCTGCAACATGAATGAGACCTGAAGATGTCATGCTAAGGGAAAGTAGACAGCCACCAAAGGCCACATATTATATGATTCCATTGATATGATACGTCCACAAGAGGCAAATCTATAGAGACAGGAAGTAGACTGGTAGTTGCCAGGGGCTGGGGGAGATACATGTTTCTTTCTGGGGTGATGAAAACATTCTGGAATTAGACAGTGGTCATGGTTACACAACACTGAATACACCAAAACCCACGGAACTATATGATAAATTTCTAAATGGTTAAAAATGTTATGTGAATGTTATCAAAAAATTTTTAAAAAGAAACAGCTGAAATTAATATTTTTTACCCAAATATGTCCAAATTATCATTTCAAGATGTAATCCACACAGAAAACTACTGAGATATTTTACTTCTTTTCCCACACTAAATCTTTGAACTCTAGCATATTTACACTTACAGCACATCTCTCTCAACTGGGGCATCTCAACTGGGATGTTTTAACTGCTCAATGACCACTGCAGCTAGAGCCAGCATGGTTCCTAAAGGGTGAGAAGGGAGGGGAGAGAAGTGGAAAGAGAGGCGCAGGAGCAGAGAGGTGCAAATACCCGGGTTATTTATAGCATCCTGTTAAGATCACACACTCACGCACACACACCACCAGCAGACACGCACTGACTCCTGAATACTTTGCACCTATGGCCCTGTGAGCCAAATATTGTATCATGAATTGTGTTCCCATAGAAAAAATGGCACAGAGTGGTGAGGAAGCTAGCCCAACCCACAAGACCCTAGAGCTAACACAACCTCTGTGTTTAAGACTTAACACACACACATAAAATTAAACAAACAAACAAACAAAAAGATACAGCAATCACAATAACATGCTGATCTTTCAAAAGGAGAGAACAGAACTGAGGTTACCAGAGGTGGGAAAGGGGGAGGTGGATGGGGAAAGTGAGAAATTGATAAAGGGCCACAAAAGATGATTACACTGTGTACTGTTGAATACACTAATTATCCTGATCTGAGCATCACATATTGCACACGGGTATTGATATTCAACGCAGTACCCAACAGATATGTACAATCA